GTTCAAATGCACTGGGGCAGGGGGGAGCGATTCACACTGGTGCTCTCCCTCCTGATTCAGAGACTAAATCAGCCTCAGAGAAATTACAAAAACAGATTCACTCTTTTCCTGGGCACGTCTAGCTGAAATTGACGTGACCACTGTTTATTTTGTAGTCAAAGAGGAATTCTAGAATATCACCATCAAGTAGTCTACCCATAAGATCAGGTCTGCCCAGAAGATTCCTTTCCAGATCTAAGAAAACCCATGAGCAAAAGTCAGCTTCATTTTTCTATACCATGGGCCAGATGCAAACATGTATATCTTAAGATGCTTTATGTGATGGATTTCCAAAGATGAGACTCCTCAGAATTATTTCCCCAGATTTTCCAAGGTGAGAAAGCCATGCTGTTCTTGTTAACGTATGCTTTGCCCAACATAAAGCACTTGCAGCCAATTTCTGTCCAGTTAGTTGTTTGCACTAACCAGTTTTCAAGAGGAAATACTGCTACAAAATCTGAATTAAAGATACTGAGGGCAGTACCATCCCAGATCTCCCCACCATTCAATGGGGCAGTTGTAATCAGATCTTCACACCATTCCCTAGACACCTGAGGTTCCCAGGGGCACAGGCCTTACCTGCCCTTCATCTGCTCCATCTTCCACTCCATGCACCTGCAGCCGGGGTGATGCTCTGAGGATAGCAAATCCTCTATAAACAACACAAATCTCTTGTTAGTAAATGGGGCCTTTCTTAAAACTGCACAGTATGCATTGCTTAGATTCCCCAAACGAACTTGTGATTCAATGTCCGTGCCACATGGAAACATCTGGGGTGAGATGGTAGCAAGGTGGCGATAGATGCTGGTGGTGGAGGAGGCGTCTGCCATGCTCCCCAGAGTGCAGCCTGGCAGACCCTCTCTTGCAAGGGGCTTAGCAAGGGTGAGCATTCATTCTCGGGGAAGGTGTTCAGGTACACCAGGATAGATGCAGCGGAGCTGGGGGGCACCGCATACAAATGAGGATGCTCAGGTGCTCGATGGGTCAGAGGGACGGCTTGGTGAAAGTGTTTACCTTGGACTGTTCTCTTCTGAGAGCATTTAGACAACGTTGGAACCGGAGAGGTGAGCTCTGTCTTGTCCTCCTTCAGCTAAAGATGAAACTCAAGGCTGGGTGTCAACGAGACCTCGCTGGTGCACGTAAGGCTAAGATTCTCAGGAACATCCACGTCACACACATCTTCATATAACTAGGGCCTGCTGTGCCCTTGGCGTTGCTTCCTGTTTGTTCAAATTCAAAACTCTCCAGCTACCAAACACTCAGCGCTTTCAGACCAATTTTACATGATGATACCTCCAGCCCAAGTCCCCGGCATGAAAGATCAGACAGAAAAGACACCAACTTGACAGCCTACGGCCCTACTCACTGGCTGACGGGCTATGTGTGTGTCTGTGACCTGCACCTGCCGGCGTCAGTCATGTGAGAAGGCCCTGAGTGGGGGAAAATCCTCTGAACCTCAACACACATGTGCTAACACCCCTGAGATCCCAGCCAACACCCGGGAGAAGAACACAAAGGTAACACCCTCCCTAAAGAAAGATGGATTCCTTCTACAGGGTTTTGGACTAAGAGGATTTTGTGAATGCTCCCGGAGAATTTTCAAAACACTCTCTGAAGCAGCAATTCACATTTGTGTTTGCAAAGTGCGATGCTGCATGCAGGCTGTGCTGCATGTGGCCATGTGCATCAGTTCAGGTTAGACGGGGTGTGGTGGGCAGTCAGTATATTTTAAGCTACTTTTCAAAACTGTATTTGGCAAGAGCTACTTTTAGGAAACAATTCAGGGAATCTGTCCTCTGCTGAGTCTGGAGACCAAGGCCCCTTTAGGAAGTGATTTTCTTCCAGGGAATCCATTTGTTCCTCAGGTTACGTCTGTGCTCCCCACCCAGAGGCTGGTTCCAGAGAAGCAAAGGCTGTCAGGGCCACCATCAGCATAACCTCTGGATGTCCTGCCTCTGGAAACTCACTGTGGGGCCCATGATCTCTGTGCTAAATATAAGCTGAGGAATGAGAACAGCAATCCCTCTTTGCCAGGCCCCGACCTGTCAAAACTGTCCTGCTTCTCACAGCCACCCTTGAGGTGGATATTATTTGGGCAGCCTCTTACTAGGTGTGCAAATCAAGGCCAACCTTACACAGCTGAACAGTGGAGAGCTGGGCTCTCCAGCCATCTCCTCGACAGAGTGGGCAACGATTCAAGTGAATGAGTCACCAAGCCACCAAGACCATGGTGTTACAGGGGCAAAAGGATGTTAATAGCCACCAAGGCACTAGGTACACACAAAAAAGGCAACTTCACTGGGTAGTTTTAAAAGTTATATTTTAGTAAAAATATCAGTAATCCATGCCCAATGTTTTTGGAAGGACCACAATAAATTTAAACTCGGATGCCAGGAATAGCATGAAAATAAACCTATCCTGAAAAAGACACATGATACAGCTGTTAGAGCCTCCAAAACATCTCTGGATATAATTTTTGAGTTATATCCAAAAATAAGTGAGGATTACTTGCTTATAAAAAAAATAGATTATTTTTTGTATGGGGTCGGGGGGAGGGATTGATCCCAGGGGTGCTTAACCACTGAGCCACATCCCAGCCCATTTTATATTTCAATTAGAGACAGGGTCTTGCTACATTGTCCGGGGCTTTACTAAGTTGTTGAGGCTGACTTTGAACTGGTGATCCTCCTGCCTCAGCCTGCAGAGCCACTGGGATTACAGGAGTGTGCCACTGTGCCCGGCTAAGAAGGCATGGCCTTTGGAAACAAGTTTTCCTAGTGCCTCTACAATTTGATCATGACATTAGATTTCCCTTCAACCCTCCTGGAATATCTTTAGTATTAAAGTTGAACCACAGGTATGTTTTTTTTTTAATTAGTTGTTGATAGACCTTTATTTTATTTATTTGTATGTGGTGCAGAGAATTGAACCCAGTGCTTCACGCATGCTAGGCAAGCATGCTACCACTGAGCCACAACCCTAACCCCCACAGGCATGTTTTAACACTTAGTTACCACTGAGACCTTAAAAGCTCCACACTGCGTCACATCTACAAAACATTGGTGGAGTATTGTTTGTATGAATGCAAAGGGCTTCCTTCTGATGCTGATATGTCAATTTGTTTCCTTTGGGTGGTCTCTAGCAATTAACTACAGTAAGGAATATGTCATATAAACATAACCATTGCAGGGACAAGCAAATATGTCTTTTTCAGAAAGTCTAATAAAACCCAAGGAAATCCGGTGCATTCAGAATTCCAAACCATGTTTCTGAAGTCCAAGAATAGTTCTCCACTTGCCTATTATGTTGCTTCTGTTTTTTACAGATCTAAATGGAACAGGGATAAGGAAAGAAATCCAATCTACAAATCCACCACTGTCTGTTCCACCTGCTTTCTTCTACAATATTATTATCACTTCTATCCATTTGGATTCTAATCCAGAGATCCCCAAGAATCTAATCCCCACCAAAGGGAAAACTGGAATCATTCATTTATTCCCCCAAATCAGCCCATCACTATCCCCAAGCATAACTTGGTCTCTTAGATGTCCTCAATCATTTGTGTGTATATGTTTCTCCCCAACACCGGGAGGCTAGGCAAAGCAGACAGCTTGTGTTGTCCAGCATGAGGTGTATAAACAGGAAACATTAAATCTCATGAATACATCAGAAGAATTAAAATGGCATGAAATCGTCTCAGAAATTCTAGCATCTATAATGAAGGGAATTCAGTAGAAATGGTCAACAGTACTCTCCCAGTCGACTGTCAGGCCTTTAAAAACTGTGCAGGGGAATGTACACAGTGCTGCCCAATTCTCATATTACACAACAGTGGCAAAGTTCTCTGCCTCCTTCCAGGTACTGTGCGCCTTTCCATGAGTAGGGTGAATGAATGTTTTAACAAGGAAACACTTTTACCTTTCTTTTAAATGCTTTTGATTCAAAATGCCATTCCTTTGCCTTTGAAAGATTTGTGAACCATTCTCTGCAAATATGTACAGATTCCTTCTTCAGTGTAGGTAACTGATACTAGTACATTCCCACCATGTGACTTGAGTTGTCTTAGAGAGAAGGGCAGCACCAACTCTTAACCATGAACTTCTTCAGTGAGGAAAAAGTATTCTTATAGCACTTAAAACAGAAGTGAGGTGTGTACATTACTTAACAGCTAATAACAATAACTTATTTCAAATTTCAAACTTTAGACTTCGGATGGCTCACTGAAAGATATATAACATAGCGAATCGAATGAAGCAATCAGGAAGCATTTTCTGAGGTCACTATTTAGATTAAGCAGTTCCACAAGTTCCGTACAACGTAAATTCTTTGGCCATAGAAATGGGGTCGTTTCATAAATAGTTGTAAATCTCTACAAGGTGACTTGAAATTGGCATTTTTCTAACAGTATAGGCTCTACCAGGAACAACACAAGGCCATGACATTTCATAAAAATAATGCTTAAATACTCGTCCTCGAGTAGTTTAAAATCTAAGTGATGGTATAGAATATATAAATAATATTCAAAATCACTGACACCTTACAGAATTGGTCCACTTCCTAAATGACTTACTTCCATGCACGGTTCTCCTTCTAGTTCAATGCAATTTCTTCTCTCTGTGTACTGTTGGAGATTGCCCCTTGACCTCTTGATTTTATTTTATTTTTTAAAGAACACAGTTCAGTAAATTTTAAAATGTCAATCTTATCTCAGAGTTTTTTTCTGTTAAAGAAACAAACATGTCGCTCCATCTATCTACAGCTTAATTATGAAAATTAAGCCTGGGAAAGGCAGCTTGTCCTTTGTGGTGTGTCATAGACATGGAGAAGCACACTAAGGTCTTGAGATACCATGAGACACCCCAAAGGGCAGTCTTTCCTTCCCAGAGTTTCTAGGCTGTAAACCTCAGAGATGTTTCCTTTCTGAGGTCAAAGTGGAGGAGTCCACTTTCAAGGGGGCTTACCTGGTAATTTGTGTCCTGGTGCTGAAGTCGAGAGACCTCATGGAGCGTAGAACTTCAATGCACCCCAAGTACTGCAAGAGGAAGAAACATACATCATGAGTTCTGGGAACTGAGAGGCAGAGATGATTCCTAACGACAACAAGGGAGTTTTTTGGAAGCAATACGCATTTCTTAAATCACATTTTAACTCAAAATTCTGTGGCAAGACTTTGTTCTGTTTCTATGAAAGCAAACATTCAAACCCATAGGAAAGCATCCTAATACTTACATTGGCACAAAATATGATTTTCTAAAACCTATTAGTATTGTCATTTTATTTAGATGCACATTCTTCAAAGCTTTTATTGGGGTATAACTTTCACACTATAAAAGGCAGACATCTTAAATGTTAGCTCAACATTATTTAAATACATATTTGCCGTGAAACTGCAAATCAGACCCTATAGTTCTAGTTCTTTTCAAAACTTTAGGGTAAATTTAATTTTTTAAGAAATTTTATTGGAGCACGATATGTATAACATAAGTGGAATTCATTGTGGCTATTCGTACATACAATATAACAATCTGGTCATTTCATCCCCCAGATCTACCTCCTTCATCTAATCTACTCATCAATTTTCATGAAATCATTTTTCATTCTATTTTCAGGAAATCTTTTCTTCTTCTTTTTTCCTCTAGCTTTCACATGTGAGAGAAAATAAATGACCCTTGACTTTCTGAGTCTGGCTTATTTCACTTAGCATGATGTTCTTCAGTGCCATCCGTTTTTCCTGCAAATAGCATAATTTGTTTTTCTTTATGAACAAATTAAACTCCATTGTGTACATAAACCACATCTTCTTTATAATTCATCTATGGATGAACACCTAGGATGGTTCCATAATTTGGCTATTGTGAATGGTGCTGCTATAAACATGGGTATGCAAGAATCTCTACAATGTGATGAATTCAATCCTTTTGAATAAATACTAAGGAGTGGTATAGCTGGATAATGTTATGGTTCCACGCCTAGTCTTTTGAGGAACAACCATACTGACTTTCAGAGCCATTGTACTAATTTACATTCCCACCAACAGTGTATAAAAATTCTCTTCCTCACAGCCTTTCAGCATTTATTGTTATTTATATTCCTAGAAGTTTATAAAAAATTTTAAAAAAGAATGAAAACACTATATAAACCAACACTTTCATTAACATTGAACTTCATTTTCTAATAAATATATTTTAGGGGTCTATGAATAAACTAAAAGTGGCATTTAGTTTACCAGAAAACCCTCTTCTGCATTATTCACCATAAAATTTTCAGAAATTCAAATTTATCCATCTCAATGTATAGCTAAATTTTGATCTGTTTCACACATGAAAATGTATGGATGGATACAGGGACATAACAAAAATTCTGGATAAAAAATAGATAGAATTTTTATGTTCTTAAGACCTTGAGGAGTTCCAAGGTGCAGATGATATAGACAAATGCTTTTAAATTTAGTTACTTTAGACAAATGCCTTTAGATGTAGATTTTATGAAAAATCCTCATGGTATGGTACATAAAAGACTGTATTTGAATTATTCCAAAAACCTGAGTTTGGACTTGGCTTTGTCATATCTTGTTATGTAAGTTTAAGCAAAACTTTACACTTCTCAGAGCTTAAACCTCTAAAACCCCATAAATGGGATGGTTCCTCCTACCACTGCATGATCACCGATATCACAAAGCTATTGAAATACCACCTTTACCATCCCAGTTATGTGAATTTCACAAAGATATATGAATTAGACTATCACTGACACTGCAGAGTTATGTGACTATTACAACTGACAGCATCAGTTCCTGTGAGTAACAGGGCCGATGTTACAGTTATATGACAACCTCCACACTCAGAGTCACAGAATTATACAAATACCACACGCACACTGCAGAGTTATGCGAAAATACCACAGCCAGCCACACAGAGCTATGTGAATGCCTGCATATCAATGTCCTATGTGACGAAATACCACAACCACCCTCCCAGGGTCACGTTAATACCACAACCCAAACTGCAGGACTGTGAGATGACACTCTACCCCAAAAATATGCAGGAGAGCCCCACCACCATTGTAGAATGACGTAAATATGATATCAACGTCAAAGTTATGTGGAAATGATGAACAACAATGCAGTTACGTAGTTGTATTTGTTACATTCATTACAAAGTTCTATGAAGACGTTCCCCAACACAGGTGTGTATTGACATGAATAACACAACCAAATCTGAGTTACAGAAGTACTATATCTACAATCATAATATTACATGAACACCATAACTGATGTTGCAGTGTATGATCCACCTTTCCATAGATGCACATTACTTATTTCTTTTTTCTTTATGATGGTAGAATATTGTTTCAACATAGCTTTTACACCACTGTGACCATTAAGACCTGACAACAATATAAGAAGAGGCAAAGCTTATTTGGAGCTCACAGTTTTAGAGGTCTCAGTTCATAGATGTCCACTCCATTGCTCTGGACCCAAGGTGAGGTAAAACATCATGGCAGATGGGTGTGGCAGCTCAGAACATGGTATCAGGAAGCCAAGAGAGACAGTTCCATTATCTGGGGACAAAATATGCATCCCAAAGGCACACCCACAATGACCCACTTCCTTCAGCCACCACCTACCTGCCTACAGTTACCACCCAGTTAATCCCTATCAGAGGATTAATGTACCTTAGGTTAAGGCTCTCATCAATCCTCTTACCTCTAAACTTTCTTGCAGTGTTTCACACATGAGCTTTTGGGGCAAACCTCATATCTAAACTGTAACATTCTGCCCCTGACTCCCGAAGCTCATAGCCATCTCACAAAGCTGAATACATTAGTCCATTTCCAAAAGTCCCCAAAGTCTGAACAGTTTTAGCATTGCTCAAAAGTCCAAGTCCAAAGCCTCCTCTGAGACTCAAGGCAAACTCTCAGCACGAGCCCCTGTAAAAATCAAAAGCAAATGACATATATCCAATATATAAAGGCACAGAGTAAACATTTCCACTCTGAAATGGAGAAATGAAGACATAGAAAGAAGGGACGGGATCAAAGTAAGACCAAAATCCAGCTGGTCAAACAAGTTCTGTGACTCCTTGGCCAGCATCTGAGCACACAGCACCAGGATGTGCTTTCCAAAGGGCTTGTGTAGCTTCATCCCTACGGCTTGGCTGGTTGCAGCCCAAACGGTCTCTCTGATGGCTTGTCTCTGCTCCATTCCTGCCGCTTTCTTTGGCAGATGTTCCATGGTACTGACGTTTCTTAATCTTGCGGGGAGGCAGGTCCCTCCATTGTAGCTTCAGTATTCTTCTGCATGCATTGCCCTCTCAGAGGCAGCCTGCAGGGACTCTGACCCTGCTGCACTTTGCCTGGCCTCCCCAGCCTTCCTTGGAAATCTCAGTGGAAGCCTCCTTGACCCCCAAATCCCAGCATCCTGCATTCCTGCAGAACCAGCTGCCAAGATCAGCCGCAATCTCAAGAGGAGCCAAGCATCCAGGGGCCCTGGCTGCTGCGGGTCTCTGAGTGCCTGAATGGCTGAGCATGATCAAACAACTTTCTAGGCAGCCCCGTGCAAGCAGGGTGCCCCAGTGCTCTCCTCTCAAAAGAATGTTTGAGCCTCAGATGGGTGTGATCTTGCCAGTTCCTGAGGTGCCCTCCAGCCTTCTGTCCTAGTGTCTCTGTGTAACTTAGCATCTCTTTAGTGACTCCGTCTTTAACGACTGCAACTACCTTAGTCCCAGTTTTAGTCCCACTTTTCAAGTCCAAGTTTTTCAAATCTTTCTGCTCTGCTTTCTGCTCCTGACTATCACAATAAACGGGATTATTTTCAGGGTCCAGAAGAAATTTGAAAAAAGATCCACTCTTGGATGCATAGTAGCTTAATATCAGAACTAAAGAATCAAGAGAAAAACATTCTGAAAGCATCCCACTAGTCCAGAATTAACATTATACTGAGTGAAGAAAAACTGGAAGCTTCCTTTCTGAGATCTGGGGCAAGACAAGGATGCCTACTTTCACCACTTTTATTCACATAGTACTGGAAGTCCCAGCCAAAGCAATCAGGCAAGTCAAAGAAATGCAGGGCATTCCAAATGAGAACAAGAGGTCAAATTAACACTGTTTGCAGAGATGTGATCTTATATACATAAAACTCCAAATACTCAAAAAAAAAAAAAAAAACTTTTAGAACTAATTCAGTAAAGTTACAGAATACAAAAACAGCCTACAAAAAAAACAGTAGCATTATTATACACCAATAGCAAATTATCTGAAAAAGAAATCAAGAAAGCAACCTCATTTACAATAGCTGAAAAAAATGAATAAATAAACTGACAGGGAATATACTTAACCAAAGAGATGAAAGATTGATGCAATATAAAGCATAAAACTTTTGTAAAAGAAGTTAAAAAGGACACTAAAAAAATATGGGAAAACATCCCTTGTTCAACATTTGGAAGAATAAATACTGTTTAAGATGTCTTCACTACCCACATCACCCTACAGATTCAATGCAATCCTTATCAAAGTGCCAATGACATTCTTTACAAAAATAGGAAAAAAAAAAAATCCTGAAATTTATATGGATTCCCCTCCCCAAAGAGTCCAGTATTCAAAGCCATCATGAACAAAAAACAAAGCTAGAGGTATCACATTACCTGACCTAAAAACATACCACAAAAGCTAGTAATCAAAAGTGGAACCACTCAGGAAAGCAGTATGGAGACCCTCAAAAAAAAAAACACCTAGGAACAGGACCACTCTATGACCCAGCGTCAGTGTTTACCCCAGAGAACTCAACGCAGCCTACTGGAGTGACACAGCCACCTCAGTGTTTAGAGCAGCACAGTTCACAATAGCCAAATTATGGAACCAACCCAGATGCCCATCAACAGATGAACAGACCAAGGAAATGTGGGCCACTACCCCATGGACTTTTACCCCACCATCAAGAAGAAGGACATCGTGGCATTTATCAGGAAATGAGTGGAAATGGAGAAAATCATGCTAAGTGAAATAAACCAGACTGAGAAAGTCAAGGGTCAAGTG